CACTGTATTTGTATTGCCTTTGCTTGATCTGAGCCAACTTCTGTATTTTGCCTTTGAAGATAACAGCAGGTGAAGTTTTCTTGTAGTGTGGAGATAAAAAGCGCAGGTACCGGCTAACGTTTCCAAATTGAGCTCCTATTAAAGATAACAGAAACAGAGACTGGTGGCCGGGATGGTTAGCGACTGATGAACATTTTGTTTTTGGTTTTAGCATATTAGTATAGCATATTAGTAACTTACAGTCGGTTCCGACTAGACATTCATGGCAAGGGACCGCCTTTACCTTTTTATATATTAGTATATTATTTGAGTACCGTAGTTTGATATTTTAGCTTTTTATAGTGTGATGGTTTTTCATTGTGTATATCTTATTGTATATGTGCAAATATTCCAAAATCCAAAATCCAAAACGCTTATGGTCCCAAGCATTTCAGATATAGGAGACTTAACTTGCACTTCAGCTGTTCAGAAGTATTTTAATCAGCTTTCTGTCCCACCAGGCAGAATACTTTTGATACTTCAGTAATAATAATAATAATAATAACAATAATAATAATAATAATAATAACAACTACTACTACTATTATTGATGATGTACCACAAAGAGCTGTATGCTGAGCTGGTGCCACTTCCAATGAGCATAGTTCCTGCTACTGTTGTTGTGTGCTAAATAAGTCATTTCCGATTTGCGGCAACCCTACAGGGAACCTATTATGAGGTTTTCTTGGCAAGATTTGTTCAGAGGAGGTTTGCCATTGCTTTGCCTTGAGGCTGAGAGCATGTGACTTGCCCAAGGTCACCCAATGGGTTTCATGGCTGAGTGGGGAATCGAACCCTGGTCTCCAGAGTCGTCGTCCAGCACTCAAATCACTACATCATGCCTGCGGCTATAAGTGGCTAAAGAAACTAGAAATGTTTTGTTTCACAGGTCATCCAGACTGGAAGTTTTGAGCTGATGCTCTCTTTAGATGCCAGGATGGAAAACTCTTGATTTATCAATTCTGGTTATTTGACAGGTTGGGATCCCAAGTTTGGATGATGTACTCAACAAACTGTTTCTGGTTTGCTAAGCCTCTAAACCTAGTACGGTTATGTACTAACATAGGTCCAAACACACACTGCAGAAATAAACCAGTTTGAGACCGCTTTAACTGCCCTGGCTCAGTGCTAGGGAATCCTAGGAATTGTAGTTTATTGTGGCACCACAGCACTTTGACCAAGAAAGCTAAATGGTTGACACAACTGCGGGCCTTTGCAGACTGCCAGAAATAGTGCAAATTCAGTCCACTTTTAGGGTTAGGGTTAGTGCTAGGGAATCATGGGAATTGTGGTTTTTTTTTCTGAGACATTGAGCTTTCTCTGTCAGAGAGCTCTGGTGCCACAATAAAATACAGTTCCCATGATTCCCTAACCCGGACTCAATTTGCACTATTTCTAGCAGTCTGCAAAGGCCCTGCATTTCCCAGAATTCCCTAGCATTGAGCCAGGACAGCTAAAGCGGTCTCAAACTGGATTATTTCTGCATTGTGTTTTGGACCATGGTCATAGATAAACAGTAGGGAAGCTTGTGTATCAGAGAACTTTTTTGGGTACCAGGGCTGATCTAGGAATGCCACCCACATCATCATTTTAAATTGCCCTTTGCATGTGTCTTTCTGTAGTGGTGCTTACTAGGGTGACCCAAAAGTTGCCATGCTGTCCTTTTTTATATGAACGATGCTATATTTTTGTGAATAACCAGGCATTTACCCATGAACCCATGGCTTCATCTCTGCTCCAGGAACAGCTCAGTTGTTTGCATTTTTTATTTTCACGTCACTCCAAAAGGCACTGGGGAAAAATGGTAACCCTTGGTGACCAGAAATCAAAGGAGGTCCAGAATTTCTCTACCTTTGAATAGCTGCATGGAAACATAAGGCAGCATTGCAGTTTCATGCCATCTATTTACTTACTATTTTAAAAGGTTTGCTCCACTTATCCAGAAACCTCTTTGTGGTCAACACTTAAAACAACACTCTGAATATTCTTAATATCAGGGGTGGGTAAAGTGTGGCCCTCCAGATGTGGCACTGCATCTCCATCATTTCTAATCACTAACTTCTGGAGAATCAGCGAAGCTTAGTGGTTTGAATGTTGGACTACAACCCAGTGTTCGATTACCAACTTGGCCATGGAATCCACTGGGTGACCTTGGGCAAGTCACATGCTCTCAGCCTCAAGGGAAGACAATCCTCCTTTTTGAACAACCTTTGCCAGGAAAAACTCATGATAGGGTTGCCATAAGTCAGACCCAAGTTGAAGGCACATAACAACAAAAGTGTTCTGTTTAGGGCAGAAAGTTGTTGCCGCTCAGCAACATCTGGAATGTGGGTCTTTGCCCTCCCTTGCTTAATATTAATAATGTTCCCTTTCTGTACAAGAGGACATCTCTCTGCCCTTCATTGCTTACAATCTAAAATTCAACACAAGAGAGACAGCGGAGGGAGAGGATTGAAATGGAAGCAGGAGAAATGGAGAAAGAATATGTGTTTATTTTAGTATGTTTACTAAAGGGGATTGGTTGCGGTATGATTTAAGGACAGTGGTGGGGTGGGGAACCTAAAGCCCTGAGGCCAAACCAGCCTCTCTGGAGCTCCCCAGATGGGCAACCCTTCTATCTATGGGTAATCATTTCCTGACTTCCCAGCTTGTATAATGAATTCTTCCATTATACTCATCCCTCCACATTTGAGGCTTTGACTTTT